TATATATATATACATATATATGTTAACTACCCACTGTTACATTATTTCTTGCAGTTAGACTCGTCGCTCCCATGCGCCAACCACTACAGAAATAACGACATTCTGGACAACTGGGGGGCCATTAATGAGGTCGCATTTGTGCTCTACAAGCACAACACGAAGGTGAAGCATGTTTTATTTGATGGCAGCGGGTCCACGTACCTAAACTGGTTCGACAGAAACCGGGTCAAGGACTCTCCGTGGATAGATTTGAAAACGAAATCCGCAAACATCTTCAGCATTGCTGGAGAAGCCTCTCCGAGTTATAATCTTATCAGGAAGTTCATTATACATCATTCATATAGCGGATGTCCAAATGATGTGGGTTGGTTTGTTGCAATTGACAACCAGAATGTATACTGTCCATGGGAAAAAAATAATGCATTCCCCATGTTTCTATACGCTGAGGGGAATGAAGCCGTAAAATGGACTGGTGGCAAGACGAACCAAGCTGATGTCCTTGCCATCTTTGTGAAATACTTCACTATTCCTTGAATCCCAAGTCAGACAAGGCTGATGTTAAAGCTCTGGAAATATATTTACACTCATTACCTGCATATTATTTGAACTCTTGTTTACTCTCTTCTTTTCTCTTGTATAAAGTTGTAAATAAACATAATAAATTTCCTGTTAAGTACTGTGGATATTCAGGGTCAATTTGCTTTTTAATAAGCCTTCATATTAACTTCGTGTGTTTCTGTGTTTAAGGCAAAATCTACGGACGCCTAATTGGCGCCTCAACCCGTCATCTTATTGAAATGAAACTTGGCACATGGACTTGTTGCCGAGGACAACACATTGTATGAAATATTCAGCCCCGACCCCCCAAAAATCAGTTTTTCCTATTATTCAAGGGGGCGAAGAAGGAAATATGACGTCACTGGTTTCACGAAATAATATATCTGATAAACTGCGGCACATGAGATTCTAAAAAATAAAAAAAATGCGTTTGTGCGTACTAAACATATTTTATTTTGAAATAGTTGGTGTAATAAATCACCGGTGTAAAAAGCGGATGAGACATTAGAATATTAATAGAGTTTTGAGGCGTAAAAAAACGCGGTTGTGAGCTGTTACAAACCTATTCTTACTTAATAGGTTCGTTGGCTTCGTTCTCTTAGGGGGGTTTAATTATATACACTTCACAACTATAATTCTTAGATGAAATATCTTTATTAATCAACAAATTCTTCAACTGCCGTTACTGTAATCCAAGAACAACACCCCACACCCAAATCTACAATAATAATACGTCATATCCCTTTCCACACAATACGTCACAAGATACTAAGAATAATAGATAAAACAACACACATAATCTCAAACCAACACGCAATCACTTATATATATATATATATATATATATTTATATATATATATTTATGTGTGTGTGTGTGTGTGTTTAGGTGTGTGTGTCCAGGAATGCTTCTACCCATCCGCTTCTTGCAGTTAGCTTTTCTTTTCGGAAAATAAAATCGTATATAATCGTATATTAATTTAAATATGGTGTGAAACATATTCGGTTTAAAAGTGATTGGGACATTAGAATATTTAATATAGTTCATAGGAGGGAAATAAAAAGTGTGCAGTGACGCATCAGGGTGGGGGGGTAGTGGTGTAGCGAAAATTGGAAGTCTTAAATGTGCGTTACTTGAGTTCATGTTTTGTCAAGTAACTTTAGTAGATAAGAAGCCTACGCATTGCTAACGTCAATTTTTGGTCGGCTATATCTCGTATGGATTATTTTACAGAAATATTTTTTTCAGTTACTTAAGAGCGACATCCTCTGCCCAAACAACATCCTCTGCCCAAACAACATCCTCAAAAGTCAATGGAAACTTGCTTTCCGTGGCACGGCCGGCATAAATAAGTCAATTTTCTCTGCTTACAAAGACGGGACTGGAATACCTGTACATGTGGAAAGTGGATGCCAACAGGTTTGTGAAATTGATCTTTGCATCAGTCATGTCGGTTTGAATATGAACGATGCGCATGAAGCGTCCCATAAAATGTCGCAATCTTCAATCCTAATGTATAGTGCCTGTCAAAGATCTCTTGTTTTAAATCATTAAACTGATTACCTTGGATTTTTGTTTAAATTTTAAAAAGTAAAATCGACTTGATTTTAATTTGTCGTCTCTTTACTTGATCTAGAGAAAAAGCAGAGGCGTAGCTTGGTTTTACTGACCGCACATTTCACGCCCGGCTTAAACCCTCCTTCGCCACTGTGCAAAAATAAAAAAATTTTTACAGGGAATTATGTTCATACTTCAAATCGTTTCCTATTCTTATCAAAACTAGAGAGAACCCCGGGCTTGCGTTGAAAAGCCACTCAAAGAAAAAAGTGTTTGTGTTTTAATTACGTTTTTTCAGTAATTTCTAAATAGAAAATTTTGTTCCGTCTGGTGCGTACACAAATAATTTTTTAGAAATAAAAGTTTTAAATTGACTGATGTTTGGGTTTACTCGATAAATGTGGTTACGGTGTAATTCTTTGATCATGATTTTTTTTACCATAACTTTTAAACACATATACAATGCTTAAAATAGCTCTTTACTTGATACCTTAAATGTATTGTTATATATCATAATAATACTTAAAAGTTTACTAAATTAAAAGCGGATTTAAAATATATTTTGCGCGTTTAAATTTATTCGATCTCCGTAATATAATAGAAAATAACTGTGATTGTTTTTAGGAATCCGAACTTACTTAAATCTTTTCAGGTATTTGGAGTTACGTCAGTATAGCTTATTCTGATATATAGATATATATATATATATATACATATATATGTTAACTTCCCACTGTTACATTATTTCTTGCAGTTAGACTCGTCGCTCCCATGCGCCAACCACTACAGAAA